CACACCATTTTTGCAAGAAACCAGTCTGCATCTGCATCCCTACACTTCTTTCAACTGCTACACACAATCCTATGAGTCTCCATGAGTCACCCTGAATAGATCAATCCCCTAAAATGATTTGGAGAATGTGACATTACCTAGTCAGAAGAAGAAAGAGGAGGAAAAAGAGGAGGAAGAACTGGAAGAGGAGGAAGACAACCTAGCATTATTAATTTACTAAGTGTTTTACATGTATTTTTTTTTTAATTTTTGTTTTGAGATAATTGCTGTTTCACAGCCAATTATAAGAAAGAATATGGCAAGATCCCATATACCCCTCACCCAGTTTCCTCTAATGATAACACTTTGCAAAACTATATAGTACAATATCACAACCAGGAAACTGACATGGATACAATCCAGAGATCTTACTTAGATTTCACTAGCTTTATGTACATTTCTTTGTGTATGTGTGTGTATTATTTCTACGCAATTTTTTTTCACATATGTGAATTCATGTGACCAACATAACAGTCAAGATAGAGGATAGTTCCATCACCTCAAGAAATCTTTGTGCTACCCTTTTATAGTCATAACCACTTCGTTCTTCCCTTCAACTCTGACAATCACTAAACTGTTCTCATCTCTACAAATTTGTCATTTCAACTCGATGGCAAATAACAACAACAACAACAATGTAAATGGAGTCATACAGTATGTAACCTTTTGGCATTGGCTTTTTTTCACTCAGTATATTTCCTTAGAGATTCATCCAAGATGTTTTGCATATCAATAGTTCATTCCTTTTATTACTGAGTAGTATTCTACGGTATGGATGTACCACAGGTGGTTAAATTAGTCACTTGAGCTATTTTTAGATTTTAACTGTTATGAATAAAGCTGCTATGAACATTCATATTTTTTGCAAACATAGGTTTTCATTTCTCTGGGATACATGCCCATGAGTGCAGTTAGTGGGTACATGGGGTGGTGTAGTGCCTAAGGCATTTGACCACTAACCAGAAGGCTGGCGGTTCAAACCCACCAGCCAATTTGTGGAAGGAAGATTGGGCAATCTACTTCTGTAAAGATTTACCACCTCAGAAACCCAAAGTGGGTCACTATGAGTTGAAATCGACCCGATGGAAGTGAGTTTGTTTTTGTTTTTGGTTGGTAATCACATGTTTAGTTTCATAACAACCAAACTATTTTCCAGTGTGTCTGTACCTATTTGCATTCCCACCAACAATGCGTACACGAGGGATCTAGTTTTTCTACATCCTCAGGAGCATCTGATGTTATCATTCTTTTTTTTTTTTTTTTTGCCATTCTTAGAGGTGTATAGTGATGTTTCATTGTGGTTTTAATTTGCATTTCCTTAATGGCTAATGACACCAAACCTCCTTTCACATGCTAACTTGCCAGCTGTATTTCCTCTTCAAGAAAATGTCTATTCGTATCTTTTCTCTATTTTCTAATTGGATAGTATTTTGTTTGTTTGATTGCTGAGTTTTGAGAGCTCTTTTCTGGTGGCACACAGTGGTAGAAAAAAAGCCAACGTTTGAATGCAGGGCTGGCTGACTCACAGGCTCCTACATTTCACCCCTGCTCTATATTGCCTCAATTGATCCCTTTCTCTCTAGGAGAGTCTTGCTTCCTGGGGAGATATTCCAAGTTCCTGCACACAATGCTTTATTCTGACTAACCTTACTCTTACCTCAGCATACAGACTACCAGAGGTTGGGACCTGCTAGAACTTGCCCAAGTATTCTCCTTGGGTATTTGCAGGTGGAAAATGGGGGCAGATTAGGGGACTTCCCTGTATGCAAATAGCTGCCAGGTTAGCTTGTCATTCTGGTTTGGGAACAGGTTCACATTGAATTTCAGCATCTTCCAGAGTATTGTGGAACCGCTCTGCCAGTTTGCTGGTCTGTGGGTGGCAGGCTGAGAATTTTAACTCCCAAAAGACAATCATATACTAAAAAGTACACAAGAAAAGAAGACCTGTTGGTAATTGCTATGGCATATATAATTTTGAAACAACAAAGAAAACAACCAAAAAGTATATTTGCAAGTATATATGTATGCATGACCAGAAGCTGCCATTGGCCATCTGTGTAGACTCTCTCAGGAATGTTGAAGAAAGCTTAATCCCTGGAGGAGGAGGGCTCAAGGTAGGCCACCAGGATGCCAAATAAAACCCCTCTTGGGAATGTATCCCAGAGAAATGAAAACCTATGTTTGCAAAACACATGAATGTTCATAGTAGATTTATTCATAACAGCTAAAATATAGAAATAGCTCAAGTGAATTGTTTAACCACCTGTGGTACATTCATACCGTAGAAAACTACTCAGCAATTAAAGGAATGAAATACTGATATGCAGAATTTTCTCTACAGGAGTGGAGGTGGCAGGACATGCAGGACTCAGGGTGTGTTACTTCTGAACTACCCCAGAGGCTTCTGAGGAGTCTGGCAAGGGCTCCTTGCTCACAGAATAGATATACAGTTGGATTTTGACATCCATGGGTTAGGCATCTGTGGATTCAACCAACTAAGGATTGAAAACCTAAGCTATTTGTTTCTTAGACATAACCAAGCACCTTGTGGGATTGGATTTGGGGGTTTGAAGGATTAGGATTAGGATCATAATCTTCCAGGCTCTGCCTTGCTCCAGTCAAAGCAACCTGGGGTCTCCTTCTGACACTGCCTTTGGAGAGTGTCTCCTGCTCCAGATGCAGGTTCCAGTATCCTCTTCCAGGAAGCATGCCTCATTTTCCCGGTCTTCTCAAAAAATCTGCCTCCACTCCTCCCATCATTCCTTTTCCATAGGAAACAAATAGACCTGAATCTTAGCTGTACACCCCACCAGCTATGTGACCAGTGATTGCCTATTGTCTTCAAGCCCCAGTTCCCTCATCTGTAAATAGGAAGATGCTGACCCTATAGCATTGGTGTGGATTTAAACTAGATAAGATCTGTGAAGCATAAGTAGTATGTAAAGTTAAGGCTCAATGGTGGCTATTATCTTTAGTTCCTATGGCAACTATCTCCCGGTCAATCTTTGGTCCTTAATCTGCTTGCCAGAATTCATCCTGGTAGTTGCAGTTAAATTGTTATGGAAAGAACAAGTTCTCCAGCTTTGATCTGGAGTCTATGTTCATATATCATGCCCACTTTGTTCCCTAGGTGTCTAAAAGGTTTTTGGCATAGAAAAGGGGCTCTACAGGTTTGAGCCAAAGGCTAGGGATTTTCTCCTCTGGTAGGAGGGATGGAAGATGGTCACTCTGGGGGTTCCCCCATGCTATCAGCCCAGGCTCTGCCCAGCAGCAGGTGAGGGGGGCCTCCCCTGCACTGCCCTGCAGTAGTTCTTCCAGCAGCACCTGCACTTGAATGTTCCTGGGGAGGCCCACCTATTTAAAGTGTTTTTACTTTTTCCAGCTCTGTGGTTGTCTGAGGGGAGGAAGCCATTACACACACTCCATGGACTAAGCACCCAGAGGAACCCCAGGCCCAGTACCGGCAAGCCTTTCTACCTCTTTGCTGGCATTTCCAGGCAAGAACCAAGGCACTGCCTGCAGTGGCTGTCAGGGAGGAAAGAAAAAGGAGGGAGTTTAGAAAAAGAGAGGGGAGGCCAAGCCTGATGTGCTGTCAATTGCTGTTCTGGGAGACTTCTTCTCTGCTGCCATCCTGGCTAACCTTCTCCACTAAGACAGCAGCCTGTCTGCCCAGCAGGCAGCTTTGCCTGTGCAGGTACATTTTCACTACTGCTCTGAGTCTCTGTGCTGAGCCCTCAGGCTAGATTCCTGACAGCCCCAACACTGCTATGTGGTCCTCTGGGCCTGGGCTGCCTCTCCACCCAGGAAATGAGGCCCTGATCATCATGTAGCTGCTTCCTGGAGCCCAATCTCTTGTCAAGGAGTCTACTTCCCCACTGCATGGATCCCTCTGAGATTTGACCAGAGAGCAGCACCATGAAGGGACGTTCAACTACATACCACTCTCTGCTTCTGCTGACCCATCCTTAGTAACTTCTAGCACACAAGACTATGTGATATTTTTAGAAGGGTGGTGTATGCACAGGGACATAGCTCCGGGGCAGGAGTGCCTGGAGGGATGAACACAGGGAAGCAGTACCTATGGGGAGGAAGGGGGAGGGGAGCTGTTGCATTGTGGTAGATTGTAGTCAATGTCATGAGACAAAGTATATGTGAACTGCTGTATGGAAAGTGAATTTGTTCTGTAAATTTTCACCCAAATCACAATTAAAAAAAAAAAAAAAAAAGACTATGTGATATTTTTAAAGTAATTTCACTAAATATTAAGTGAGAAAAAAGAGAAAATTAAACAAACAAAAAACCAACAACAGAAAAGGAAGCTTTAAACCAGTTGGGCCAACAGATTCAAACCAGAACATTCTCATAAATTTAGGAACTCCATCTTTTCTGGGAAGGGGTGGGACTCCAGGTTCCTACAATCACCAACAGAGACCCCTAGTCTTGCACCCTTTGTAAACACTCAGTACATAGGTACATCTGAGTTGCATGCATAAATAAACCAGTTTCCACTTAGCACTGGCTTTAAATAAAATGGAACCAAATTCTGTGGTCAGATCCCTGCTTCCAACATTAAGACACCTTCCTTTCCAAACACTTCCATCCTTCTTTCAAGGGGTAACAGTTGGGGTGGGGGTGGGGTAGATCAAAGGCTGAGCTTGAGGAAGGATGTTAGAGTGAGGAGAGGGTCTGGGGATAGAGCTTCGCAGAGACATACTTCTCTTTCCAGGCCCAGCTTCCCGCCTCATCTCTAGGGCCTCAGGGCTCCAGTCTGGGTTTTCCCCGCCTTTGCAGGGCAGGATGGCTCTTCCCAGGCGGAAGAAGGGAAGATCTGGCTCGCCTCACTATCCCCACCCTCCTGGGACCTGAGGATCAGGAAACGACGGCTGCTCGGGCTATCCAGGCGGCAATCCCAGTGCAGGAGTGCGCGACTCCCGCGAGCGCCGGACAGCCACTCTGACCCCATGGCGGCGGGCGTGGAGAAGCGCTTGGGCAACCTCACCGTCTTCAGTGGCGACGACTTCGAGGACGACTGGCGCCAAGTGGCCAGCGGCGGCTTCGGCCAGGTGTTCCGGGCCCGGCACAAGCGCTGGCGGACCGAGTACGCCATCAAGTGCTCCCCCTGCCTCCTGGCGGACGCCACCAGGTACCCGCCGGTCCCGCCCCCTGGCCCTTTCCTTTCATAGAGGAGAAATTGTGATCAGGGAGGGAGCTTTCCAGGATGGGGCGGGCTGAGGTTGGCAGTGATGATTGTCCCCTCAGTATTTCTAAATGCTATTGGGTAGCCTGAAATCCCCCAAACAGGGGCACATCTGTTTTGTTTTCATACCTGCCATGCAGTTGGCACATACTTGTATGTGGAATCAACACAGGTTAAAGGTGAGCAGAAACTGCCCTCCAAAGATGCCTTTGTCCCATCTGACCTCTCAAACTTGTCCTGCCTCCTTTTTTCCAGCCACCTCCTTCTTTCTAGGTGCCCACTCCAAACTCCCAGGGTAGGGCTGGGCTCCCTGAGAGCTGTGGCACTGTGCCCAGTGACGCTCAGTGACATGTGGGAAACCATGTCTTCCATCCATGACTAGCTGGTGTGCCCCTGCCCAGCCTGTGGGGGCTGGGTGCATAGGGTATGGATGCTGTCTAGCCTGATGGGTTGAAAGCTTGCTCATGTCACTGGTTTCATTTGGCTCCCACATGGAAGCTGCTGGAGGAATAGGTCAAACCTGGAATACTGCATTCTCTGCCCTTGTTTTTGTCTCTGACTTCTCTCCAGTTTTCATCATGTACATTCCTGCCACTCTTTGGCTAGCCTCCTTCCCTTGTTCCAATTGTTTTCACCCTTCTCTGTCTTCCCACTGAGGTGGACTTCTGTCTCATTCACACCTGACTTGCATGCATTAGTTGTGTGCTTACCCCCCTTGCAACCATGAAAAAATCTCTTGGGATGTTAAGTCTGACCAAGATAACCATTTCCTTCTCTCAAGGCTCCTTGGACTTCAGGTAGAGGGTCTTGAGGAAGGGACATCTCCTTTTGGCATCTTATTTGGATGCTATTTTGCTATGTTCTCTGTGGTCACCATGAAAGCTCCCAAGACCTAGCCTCAGATCCCACACACTCAAGTCAATCCCTTCTCTAATTCCCAGACTCCCCTACTCACCTCAAGAGCAGAGATTAAGTGAGATTGCCCAAGACTCACCCACTTTTCTTCTACATTCTTCTGTTGACTTTGGAGAAGAGTTAGATTATTCTAGGACTTGTGCAAAGCATTTATAACCTTTGAAGTAAAGAACAAAAGGCAGTGCACTGACAAGACTACACTGTTAGACATTAAGTGTAACTAACTCCTGCCACCTTCCCTTCCCAAGTTCTGGGAATTTCCTGGATGGAAAGGAGTAAGGAAATTAACAGTAATTAACCCATTGCTGTAGAGTTGATTCCAACTCATAGCAACCCTGTAAGACTGCCCCATAGGGCTTCCAAGGCTGTAAATCTTTATGAAAGTAGACTCCTCATCTTTCTCCCATGGAGCAGCCAGGGGGCTTAAACCACCAGCCTTTTGGTTAGCAGTCGAATGCCTTAACCACTGCACTACCAGAGCTCCTTTAACAATAATTAATGTCCTCTATATTTCAAGTTTATTGAAATGTTTCAACAAATGAGCGTAGCACTAGAGGTACTCACTAGTCTATGCCAAGAAATTTGGAAGCCAGCTACCTGACCAACCAATAGAAGAGATATTTGTGCCTATTCCAAACAAAGGTGATCCAACAGAATGTGGAAATTATATATATATATATATATATATATATATATATATATATATATGTATGTATATATATACCACTAGTATCACACTCAATCACACTCAAGTAAAATTTTGAAGAAATAATTAAAAAATGGTTGTAGCAGTACGTTGACAGGGAACTACCAGAAATTCAAGCCAGATTCAGATGAAGACATGGAGTAAGGTATATCATTGCTGATATCATATGGGTCCTGGCTGAAAGCAGAAGATACCAGAAAGATGTTTACCTATGTTTTACTGACTATTGAAAGGGATTTGACTGTGTGGAGCATAACAAATTACAGATAACATTGCAAAGAATGGGAATTCCAAAACACTTAATTGTGCTCATAAGGAACCTGTACATAGACTAAGAGGCAGTTATTTGAACAGAACAAAAGGATACTGCATGGCTTGAAATAAGGAAAGGTGTGTGTCAGGGTATCCTTTCATCATATTTACTTTAACTATGCTGAGCAAATAATCCGAGAAACTGGACCAAATGAAGAAGAACACAGCATCAGTATTGGAGGAAGACTCACTTACAAGCTGAGAAATTCCAATGACACAACCTTGCTTGCTGAAAGTGAAGAAGACTTAAAGCACTTAGTGATGAAGATCAAAGACTACAGCCTTCATTATGGATTACACCTCAACTTAAAGAAAAATTCTCACAATTGAAACACTAAACAACACCTATATAAAAATCATAAAACTAAAGTTTATCATCAAGATTATTTCGATCCATAGTGCCCCTGTAGATGGATAAAAACTGCCTTTTTGGGTTTCCAAAGCTGTACAGACTGCCTCATCTTTCTCCCACAGAGCAGCTGGTGGGTTTGAAATGCTGACCTTTTGGTTAACAGCCCATTGCTTTATCCACTGAATAACCACAACTCCTTAACATCATGATAAATGGAGAAAAGATTGAAGTTGTCAAAGATCCACATTCAGTGCCCATGGAAACAACAGTCATAAAATCAAATGATATATTGCATTGGACAAATCTGCTCCAAAGGAACTCTTTAAAATGTTAAAGACTAAGGTGTGCCTGATCCAAACCATGATATTTTCAGTCACCTCATATGCATACAAAAGTTGGACAATGAATAAGGAAGACCAAAAAAACGATGTCTTTGAATTATGGTGTTGGTAAAGAATATTGAATATACCATGGAGTGCCAGAAGAATGAGCAAATCTATCTTGGAAGAAATATAGCCAGAATGCTTCTTAATAGCAAGGATGGGACTTTGTCTCATGTACTTTGGATGTCTCATCAGGAGGGACCAGTCCCTGGAGAAGGACATCAAGCTTTATAAAAAGTAAAGGGTCAACCAAGAAAAGGAAGATCCTCAATGAAATGGATTGACACAGTAGCTGCAACAATGAGTTCAAACATAATGATAATTGTGAGGATGGGACAGGACCGGGCAATGTTTTGTTCCATTGTACATAGGGTTTCTATAAATCAGAACTGATTCAAAGCACATAACAACAACAAAAATATGTCAAATAACCTTACAGGGCAGTTCTACTCTGCCTTGTGGGGTCATTATGAGTCAGAATTGACCTTAAGGCAACAGGTGTTTTGTTTTGTTTTTTTGTTTTTGTCATCAAGTGGAGTCCCTGGTGATGCAAATACTTAATGTGCTAAGCTGCTAACCAATGGCTGGAGGTTCAGGTCTACTCAGAGGTGCCTCAGAAGAAAGACCTGGTCATCTCCTTCCAAAAAAAATTATCCATTGAAAACTCTACAGGGAACATTTATACTCTGACACACATGGGATTACCACAAGTCAGAGTCAGCTCCAAGGCAACTGGATATTTTTATTTTTTAAATGTGTCAAGTACTGTGCTAGGAGCTTTCCATGCATTTCTTCACTGGATTCTCCATCCATCCACTTATTCATTCATTTGACAATGCTTATTTCTCTCCTACTATATGTCAGGTGCTGTGCTAGTCCCTGGACCATAATGATGAATGCAACAGATTTGGAACTTGGGATGGGGAAAGGAGACAGTAATCAGATAATCTCACACATAAATGTTAGACTATGGTGCACCTTACATGCAATATTTCCATAGCCTCATATGCATGTGAGAGTTGGACAATGAATAAAAAAGATTCCAGAAGAATTGATGGATTTGAGTTGTGGCGCTGGCAAACAATATTGAATGTACCATGGACTGCTAGAAGAATGAACAAATCTATCTTGGAGTAAGTACAGCCAGTATGCTCCTTAGGAGCAAGAATGGCCAGACTTCGTCTCTCATACTTTGCTCATGTTGTCAGAAGGCACAGGTCCCTGGAGAAGGATATCATGCTTGGTTAAGCAGAGGGTCAGTGAAAAGCTATTCAAAGGTTTACAGCCAGGTATGTATGTATGTATAGGTAGGGTGGTGGTGGGAGAGATGACAGTGGGGAAATGATCAGATATGCAGCATAGAGATAGAATTGGAGAGGGCAGAAAGCATGCTGGTCCAGTTAGGAGATAGCTGTCTTTCAGGCAAAAAATGATGAGGGCCTGGACTGGAGTGTTGCAGGAGGGAAGGGAATGAATTAAGCAGTATTTAGGACTTTGTGCTGGATTGTCTATGGGAGACATGATGAGGAAGAGGAGTCAAGTTTAACTCAATGCCTGGCTTGCCCAAAGGAGCAAAGGATCCACTAAGATGTAAATTCCATGAGAACAGGGCTCTGTGTCTATTTTGTTCACTGCTTTATCCTCAATGCCCAGCACATAGTTGGTGTTTAATAAATATTTGTTAGATAATTGTGTTGACTATTAATAAAGGGAACATGAAAAGAGGTCCAGGTTTGGAGAAGAAGATCATGAATTCAGGTTTATACATGTTAAGTTTAAGGTCTCTTTAACAGCCAAGAACAGTTGTTAAGCAGACTTCAGAGGAAAAATGGATTAACAGTATTAGAACCTGTGAGTCATTTGTTACAGGTAGTAATTGAAGTTAGGACATAGAGGATATTCATTCATTTTAAGCACTAAGAGAACACAACAAAGTCCCCACCCTCGTGGAGCTTACAGTCTAATGGAGAAAGACAATAAATAAGTATTTTTGTCTGAGAACTTAAGGAGCTCTGGTAGCATAGTGCCTAAGGCACTTGACTGCTAACCAGAAGGCTGGCGGTTCAAACCCACCAACCATTCCTCGGAAGGAAGGTTAGGCAATCCTACTTCCATAGTGATACTGCCTCGAAAACCCAAGGAGGGGTCGCTATGAGTTGGGGCTGACTCGATGGCAAATAACAACGACAACAAGAGAACTTATGGTCACTTGCTATTTTATTGATTAAAATACTTAAGAAGAGTTGAGGAGATCTTATCTGTAGAGGAAAGATTCAGGCTAGAAACATTAATTTGTAGGGTATCTATGTAAAGGGAATAAGGAATTCGAGAATTGGGGTAGGGTTGCAATTTTTATATGGCATTATCTGTGAAAGTTTTACTAGTAAGGTATCATTTGAGTACAGATTTGAAGCAAATAAAGGAGTAAGCCATGTGGCTATTTTAGGGAAAAGTATTTTAGGTAGAGGGAACAGCAAGTGCAAAAGTCCTAAGGTGGGGATACAATTGAGATGGTGGAAGAACACTAAGAGGCCAGTGTGATAAGAGCAGAGTGAGTGAAGGAGTGATTAGTGAGGCCAGCAAGGAATACCCAGGAGTGGAAACGATTGTGTAGGGCTTTGTAGGCCATTGGAAGGACTTTGGCTTTTATTCTGAATGAGATGAGAGCCACTGAAAAGTTTTGAGCAGAGAAGTGACATGATCCAACTTACATTTTAAAAAGTATCTCTCTGGCTTCTGGGTTTAGAATAGATTATGAAGGAGAAAGAGGAGAAGCAGAGAGACTAATTAGGAGGCTGGGACCAAGATACAAATGGTAGAGGGGGTGAGAAGTAGTGAAATTCTTGCTATTTTTTTCTTCAATTTTTATTGTGATTTGGGTAAAGTTTACAGAGCAAATTCATTTTCCATACAGCAGTTCACACACATTTTGTTTCATGACATTGACTGCAATTCGCCACAATGTCTTGCTATATTTCGAAAGTAGAACTGACAGGCTTTGCTGAGGAACTTGTTATGGGAACTGAGAGAAAGAGAAGAATCAAGGATGTGACACCAAGGACTGAGAACCAGAAGGATGGAGACCCCACTCACTAAGAATGGATTGGGGAAGGAGCTGGTTTAAGGGGGACAATAGAGAGATTCTTACCTTTAGACATGTTAAGTATTGGATACTCGATTGGAGATGCTGAGATGGCCTGAAGAGTACAGAGTAAGAAGAGAAGAGAGGAAAGGACCTGGGTCTAACTAAGCCCAATGGCCAAGTAACAAAACTTGAGCCTGCAAAGGAAGCATAAAGGAAGTGACCAGAGGAGAGGGAGAAATCCAGCAGAATGCTGACACATAGGTGAGTTAAGAGAGTATTTCCAACAAAAAAGAGTGTGAGATCAACAATGCCCTATGCTGCTGAGAAAAAATGTAACTTTTTCTAATGGTGGTGGGAAAATTTGGAAAAGGATGATGGTAATTGTTGAACAGCAGAGTTCCTGGATGGAATAGATGGTTAAGCACTAGACTAACAGCCAAAAGGTTGATGGTTTGAACCCCCCAGAGGGCCCTCAGAAGACAAGTCTGGCAAACAGGCTTAAAAACCCTATGGAGCACAGTTCTGATACACATGGGGTCACCATGAGTCAGGGTCAATTCGACAGCAACTAGCGGTGACAATGGTTGAACAACATGACAAACATAACTGTCATTGAATTGTACACATGAAGAATGTTTAAATGGCAAATGAATTTTTATATTTATATTCACCAAATATATTTTTACCAGAAGAATTAGATAGTGCCTGGCTACCACTACCGACTGCTCTGATCAGGACCACAGGAGTCTTGTACAGAATGGGAGAAAAATATAGAACAAATTCAAAATCATAAATAAGACCAGACTTACTAGTTTAATGGAGACTGGTAGAACCTCTGAGATTGTGGCCCTTAGACACCCTCCAAACCTGGAACTGAACCCATCCCCTAGGAATCATCTTACTGCCAAACAACACACAGGCCTATAAAGTGAACAATAATAATCATGAGGAATGCACTCCTCGGAACAATCAACCATATGAGACAAAGGGGCAGCATTTGCCCAAAAACAAAGCTCACAAGGAGGAAGGGACAGGAAAGAAAGACGGAATGGGAATGGAAACGGAAATGCGGAACTCAGGGAGGAAGTGGAAAGAGTACACTGAGGGGATTGCAACTAATGTTATAAAACAAAATGCGTATGAATCGCTGAATGGAAAACTAATTTGCTCTGTAAATTTTCACCGATATTACAATAAAAATAAATAAAACAAAAAAGAGTAAACCAAGAACTGAAAAATGTCCATATAGCAATATGGAGGTCATTGGGCACCTTAGCAAGAGCTGTTCAGTGAGGTACTGAGGCCAGAACCAGAAAGAAGGTGGGAGAGGCAGAAAAGGAGAGGCAGCAGGTATAACAAATGGTTTTAAGACATCTAGCATAGTGCCTAAGCACTTGACTGCTAACCAAAAGGCTGGTGGTTCAAACCCACCAGCCACTCCTCGGAAGGAAGGTTTGGGCAATCTACTTCCATAGTGACCCTGCCTCAAAAACCCAAGGAGGGGTCGCTCTAAGTTGGGTCCAACTTGACGGCACATAGCAACAAAGATGTGAAGGAGATTGTGCAAAGTTTTTTTTTTTTTTTTTTTAGTTATTATGATTCCCATTTTACAGTTAAGAAACTGAGGAGTTTACTTGCCCAAAGTCAAACTGATAATAAGTAGTGAAACTGGGATTTGAAATCAGGGTAGTCTGACCCCAGATGCCACACTTTTCCCACTTCATGGCGGATGTCCTTTCATTCCTGCAAACTCAAAGGACAAGAAGAAACACATAAAAGCTATGACAGAGGTGGAGGAGAGCTCTCTGAGACAGTAGGGAGAACTAAAAGTGAGAAGAGGAGAAGACTGGACGTGCCAGCCTCTCCAGATATGGAGGGAGAGCTGGAGGGCTTCTCTGACATTCAGACCCCCCTCAGCCTGGCTTCACAGGGAGCCCTGGGAGCTCATTTCTACACAGCCTCTGGCTGCCTCACCAACGCAGCCTTTCAAATACTATACTTTTAAAAATGACATTTCTCCTTAATCCTCATCCCCGCAGTCCCAAATCAATTTATAGCAAATTTGCATATTTACTATTCCATGGGCAGTGCAATGAGCAGGAGAGTTTGTGAATGCTAATTTCCTTAAGCCTTGACTTGTGTTCAATTCAACAAAGATGTATTGCACTGTGGAGAGCAATGTGCTGTGGGAAGTACAGAGATGAATAATTATAGTTCACTCAGAAAACGGAGTACCATGCAGCCATTAAAGACCATGCTTCAGGAGAATAGCAATGTGGGGAAGTGCTCATGCTACATCAATGGGGGAAAATCAGATCACAATAGTGTATCTGATTTGATCAGAAGAGAAAAGGGAGAGAGAAGAAAGAAAGGAGCTAAAGTGAGCGAGAAACCTTGAAAATGTATTGTAAAAGAATATCCTAAGATATTCACAGAGCCCAGCTCTGGAAGGTGGGATTGCTGACGATTTAATTTTCTTCTTTATAGCTCTCTGTACTTCCTAGAGTTTCTATGGGATGTATGTATTACTTTCACAATCAAAGCAGCAGTAAATGATATTTTAAAACAGAAACTGAGACATAATATTTGTCCTCCAGGGGCTCACAATTATGAGGAGAGATAGACACTTAAACAAGTAGACAGAATAAAGGACAATCTGATTTGTGTTCTCTGAGGCCATCTCTCTGCAGAATGTACTCACCCCCAAACCTGCAAATGCTTTCACTTCCTGTCTTGTCCACCTGGACTTTACCCTGTGTCCCTGCTGAGCATCATTTCATGTATCTCTTTCCTCCTCCACTACCTTGAAAGCTACTGAGGCTTCTCTGGATCCCCACAGTTGGCATCATGCCTAGTTGTGTGTTCTGCTGGTTGCTCTAGTAATTAATGGGTTGCCCCCTTCCATCTCTTGCTCCCTCCTCTCCATAGCTCCGATGTGAACTGTCTCATTGAAGAAGCAGCCAAAATGGAGAAGATCAAGTTTCAGCACATTGTCTCCATCTATGGGGTGTGCAAGCAGCCTCTGGGCATTGTGATGGAGTTCATGGCCAATGGCTCCCTGGAGAAGATGCTGCCCACCTATAGCCTCTGCTGGCAGCTCAAGTTCCGCATCATCCATGAGACCAGCCTCGCCATGAACTTTCTTCACAGCATTAAGCCGCCTCTGCTGCACCTGGACCTCAAGCCAGGCAACATCTTGCTGGACAGCAACATGCGTGTCAAGGTAAGGCCCCTGGTGAACCCCTCTGCCCATTTTCACTCCAGAGTCTCTTCCCGGTGAGCAGGTTATCTACCTGCGTGTCTGTTGGGCCTGTCAAGGACAGTTTCAAGGAGTTCCTTTCATAGACAAATACTGTAAGGCAAGATTCACACCTAAAACAGATGGATGGGCAGTGAAAGCTGGTTTAGGAAGCCAAGTATCAGGATGCCTGTAACAATCCTCTCTGGGTCTCATTTTTCAGTTTCTAAAGTGGATGGAAAAATATCCCTCTCACTCTTTGCTTTGGGTAAAGATGCACATAAATGAGATGTTGTTGTCTATGCTGTTGTTAGCTGCTGTGTAGTTGGCCCCTGACACATGGAGACCCTATGCACAATGGAACAAAAGGCCACCTGTCCTGTGCCACCCTCATGACGGTTTTTGAGATCATATCATTGTGGTCCATAGAGTGCTCATTGGCTGATTTCTGGAAGTAGGTTGTCAGGCCTTTCTTGCCAGTTCATCTTAGCCTGCAAGCTCTGCTGAAACTTGGTCAACATCATAGCAACACACAAGTCTCCACTGACAGGTTGGTGGTTGCTGCACATGCCAGAAATTGAACCCAGATCTCCTGCAAAGAAAGCAAGAATTCTACCACTGCGAACAGTTAACACACTGGACTGCTAGCCCAGAGGTCCCCTCGGAAGAAAAGTCTGGAGATCTACTTAAAAAAATCCAGCAATTGAAAACCCTATGGAGCAGTTTTACTCTGACACACATGGGATTGCCATGAGTTGGCATTAACTCAACAGCATCTGGTTTATAAATGAGATAATTCCTAGGAATGGTCGTAATGGCCATTTCTTCAATTCCTAAAACATGCAACATTTTTTTTCTGCTTCAGGACTTTTGCCCATTCTGTTCCCTCTGCTTGGATTCTCTTTTCCCCATTTCACTATCTTTATCCAGCAAAGGCCTACTTATCCTTCAGTTGTCAGCACTCAGGGAAGCCTTCCACAGACCCCATTGCATGCCCTCATGGTACCCTTTCTCCATATTGCTAACCCTAGTTGTAAGTGTATGATCAATAGAGAAGGAGCCCTGGTGGCACAATTAATTTAGTGCTGGTCTGGTAACCAAAAGGGCAGTGGTTCAAACCTACCAGTGGCTCCAAGGCAATAAAGACCTGGTGATTTGCTCCTGTAAAGACTTCAGCCTAGGAGACCCTGTGAGACAGTTGTACTTTATCCTATAGGATCTCTCTGAGTAGGAATCAACTAGAGGGCACACAATAACAACAACAATCCATAGTGAAACTACTCCATAAATGACTATACCCCAATTTAAATAAGTACTTATGAAGGTTTGGGGGTTCTCATCTTTCTAATCCACTTTAGGATCCTCTATATCCAGCCTAGTTGTCATTCAGTACATAGAAAATTAGTGAAGCACTGAATCGAAGGATGGAAGCAAAGAGGAGATAAATATACAAGGTGAGAACACAGTTCAAGTGCTCCAGGGTGTGTGGAGGTGGAATGAGCAGACTCACCAAAGATGACATTCTTTTGCCAACCTTGTCCATGGCTCCTCTGGATAATGGCAACACCTCCCAGGTACTGACTCTGTGCCAGGCAGCATTCTAACTGCTTTCTGGTGCCTCATTTAATCCTCATAATAATGTGATGAGTTCACTACTCATATCATTTCCATTTTTAATTTATTTATTTATTTATTT